CCCTGAACCATACAAGATGGTGTGTGCCTTTAGCCCTAGCACGGGGGAGGTGGAAGATCAGGAGTTCAAGGGACATAAAGAATTAGGGACCAGCCTGGACTACATGAGATTGTCTGAGAGAGAGAGAGAGAGAGAGAGAGAGAGAGAGAGAGAGAGAGAGAGAGAGAGAGAGAGAGAGAATGGGAATGAGGAGCTGGGAATAGGAACAGCTAGAGGCTAACACCACCCCATGACAAACCCTTCCTTCCCAGGCTGATGCTGCTCTTGCCAGACTTCAAGAACTCAGACTCAAACTGCCCACACCCTTCTGAGTGCCAACATTCACAACAGGCTCACTTGCTACAAACTAAAGCACCGCATCCATTCTGTTCACTAACAACATGATTTCCCGGCTAAAACCTGCCCGTCCGTCATCATGTCCCCGATATACGTGACACACACACCTCCACATAGTCAGTGCTGGGCAATACAGTTTGCACTCGGTGTACTTAATAAACCTAAAAGCCGATCTTAGTAGGAAGGAACGCTGTTTTCCAATGTGCTTTAAAAGCAAATCCCAAGGGACTCCTGACTTATAGCTTTACTTTATAGGACAAAAAGTAAGAACTGTTTGGATTATATTGTATCTTTCAGTTATTAAAAACTCCAAACCAACTCGATTTGAACATCTACTCCAGGACCCTGGCTTTTAAACCAAAGTGCACAGATTTATGGATTAATTTGTCAAACAGTCTGTGTGAAAGACAACAAGAATGTTTCATCTTTAATATATTTTCCGATGCTTCGAAGAGGAAAAAGAAATAAATCATTATAGATTTTGCAAAGTGCATTTTTATCTTCTTTCTCTAATGAGCAAGTGAAACAAAAGACATTCATTGTCTCCCTGGAGAAGCTCATCGTTCACTAGGGCCATCTTTCCCTGAAGCATTTGTCCATAAATGGCCAGCCTGCTCAGTCAGTAACTGTCTGCAAGGGCATTTCTCAGGGCCTCTCACGGCCACCTGGCCTTTTTCAACTTGATGCATTAAAAGAGAAAGAAGGGATTACCAAAAAGCTACATTAAGGCCTCCCCATTCCCTACTGTGTTGTCAGGTCAAGTGACAGAGGCTGTAGGCATTGCCACATAAGAGCACAAAGTAAATGCAACATGGAGCCCACAACACTGGGTGGTTAGACTTAGGAGAGGAAGAGGGAAGGGATGGTACTGGTCCCTGGACTTTCATGGGAATATGGCACCAGTCCCAAGGAGGTTAGAAGGTCCTGGGATGGAAAGAATATATCGATTAATACAGCATCCCTGCCAGAGCATCCATCCACAGTAGGGCCTGGACCTCCCTCATCAACAGTGACTACCGCCAAGAGAAACTGCTATAAGATGAAGCACAGCCAGTCTGGTCGGGGAACGGCCAGCGTGGACCTTTACTGCTCCTGTGCTGTGCTGAAAGAAGCCACAGTGGCAGCTCTCAGTTGAATTTACTTCTAGCAGCTCAAATCACTGCTTCTATTTAAAACTCTTTTAAAAATGTTAAGTAAGTTACTTAAGAATTTCAGCCAGGTGGTAGCAGTAGCGGTGTACACCTTTAAATACACTCAGGAGGCAGAGGCAGATGGATCTCTGAGTTCAAGGTCAGTGTGGTCTACAGAGTGAGTTTCCAGGACAGCCAGGGCTAAGCAGAGAAATGCTGCCTCAAAAAAAAAAAAAAAAAAAAAAAAAAAAAAAAAAAAAAAAAAAAAAAAAAAAAAAAAAAAAAAAAAAAAAAAAAAAAAAAAAAAAAAAAAAAAAAAAAAAAAAAAAAAGACAAAAACACAAAGTATCTAGATGGATGGATGGATGGATGGATGGACGGACGGACAGACACTCCTCCCCACCTCTATGTGTGTGTATGTATTTTTTTTTTTCGAGACAGGGTTTCTCCGTAGCTTTTGGTTCCTGTCCTGGAACTAGCTCTTGTAGACCAGGCCTCGAACTCACAGAGATTTGCCTGCCTCTGCCTCCCGAGTGCTGGGATTAAAGGCGTGTGCCACCACAGCCCGGCTGTGTGTATGTATTTACAATTCACACATCATGCAGCTCATTTAAAGTGTACAATCCAGGGGCTAGAGAGATGGTTCAATGATTAAAAGCATTACTGCTCTTCCAGAGGACCTGAGTTCAGTTCTCAGCACTCATATTGGGAGGCTGACAACCACGTATAACTCTTGCTCCATGGGATCCCAATGTCCTCTTCTGGCTTCCTCGGGTACCCACAGTATGTAGCACACATGCGCATGTGCACAAAAAAATATTAATAAAATAATAATAAATCTTTAAAAACTCAAAAGTTCACAGTCCAGTGTTTTTTAGTATACTCCGAGTTTTGTGAACACAGCACCGCCAAGTTTAGCACAGGGACCCAACTTCAGAATCCTCTTGCCATTTGTCAAGCAGAGAGAGAAGCCAAGGAGGCCCAGATGGGTTAAGTCCAAGGTCCCAGAGCTGTTCCTGGCAAGGAGCCAGCCCTGAATCCCTGGGAATTACTAGCCACTGACATCATCCGGGACTCCCTTTCCCTGCCCTTGGGAAAGCTCGGAGTGAATTAAAACCTACTGTGAAAATGTTGTTTGAGAACATCTGGCATTTCTTACCGCTCTGCTCCCTCATATAAATTAAACACAACCGACTTTCTCCAAGCCGGCTACGGCTACACTGCACAGTTTCTAAGACAGACGCCTATGACTGAGCTGGGGATGTGGCTCAGGCAGGACAGTGCTTTGCCTAGCAAGCATGGAGCTCTGGGTTCAGTGCTCAAAACAATTGTTCATGGTGCTGCCCTCCCGTAAGCCCAGCCTTGGAGAGAGAGAAGTAGGACTCAGAAGCTTGCCATCTTCTTAGCTGTGTGGTCAAGGCTAGAGCTAGATTGGGCTACACAAGAACTGGGGGAGCGAGGGGAGAAGAGGACAGAAACATCTAGAACAATATCTAGACAATACTTTAACCACAGAATGCAGGTAAGTTCAGCGAGAATCTGGCATGTCTCTCTTTTCAATAAGTACAAATAATTTCAGAGAAAGGAAGGAAAGATTTAGAGCAGCGGTTCTCAACCTGCCTGTGCCAGGACCCTTCCATACGGTTCCTCATGTGATGGTGACCCCCAACCATAAAATAATTTTTGTTGCTACTTCCTAACTGTAATTCTGCTACTGTGTTGAATGGCAATTTAAGTATCTGATATGCAGGACCTCTGATATGTGACCCAGAGATTGAGAGCCACTACTTTAGACCCTAAGTAGGCACTCACTCACACCACCGACAACGATGACTGAATGTACTCAGAGCCCTCCCAGGTCTCCTTGAAGGGGGATGAAAAGTAAAGGGGCTCATTTCCTGCCAGGGCTAAGGAAGACAATGTTACAAGTGTGGCCAACAGTTACTCAAGCAAGGCCTTGCCGGAAGAAGCTCTGGGATTCCTGGCTGTTCCAGTGTTTCTGCAGAAGTAGATGCTAACCACTTCAGCCTTTAAGTGCCTATCTGCTCTCTCTTTTTCCTCTCTCTCTCTCTCTCTCTCTCTCTCTCTCTCTCTCTCTCTCTCTCTCGTAGTTAATCCTTAACTTCATTTATTCCTCACTTGCTACATACATATATTTATTGAGCTCAACAAGCACCCGGCTAAGCAGTGGTCAAGTGTGGCGCCCCCTAGAGTTTTTATTTAGACTGTTGCGTATGTTTCCACTTGGCTCAGCTCTCCCATTTTAGAAAAAATGCCTATTTTAATTGGAATTTCCCCCAAATCAATACTCCCAGTTCCAGACCCCCCCAGTGCAGGATTCACCCATGGCCAAAGGCCAATGACAACTGAATATCCGGCAGACTTCTGTAAGTACTAGAGATCAAACAGAGGACCCACCATCTCTGCCCTCACCCAAACGGCCCCTCCTCCAGGATTTCTACCACCCTGAATAGCACCACTGTCCACCCTATGTCCCCTGCTGGAAACAGCCATCACTCAGTTTCCTTGTGGACCAGCTGGGACTGAGGGGCTAGCCACGTCTTTCCGCCTGGGATAGAGAAGAAGATTTTCTCATGCCAGCTGCAATCTCAAGATCGATTTGTGGGAGAAGCAGGGGAGGAGCATCGCATCGCCACCGACAGGGACTCTAAATGCAGTCTGTCCACCTGGGTTCTAGCAAAACTGAAGCTGGGGATGAGATAGGGGCACGACAACAATTCCGCAGGTGCTGGTGAGGCTCTACCACTGCTAGAAAACCGTAGTTTTTAGAATTAGAATGTAAATTTGCCCCCTCCTCTCTCTCACACACCTCTTTTTTTTTCTGTGTCCCTGTTTCCAGCTTCCTCTGCTCAAAATGCCCTTCCTCCCACAGCCCATAGCCACAATTACTTTTCGTGTTTAACCCCCAAATGCCTTGTCTTCACCTCCTGGCAGCTTCTCATGAAGCCCCCACTAGAGTCACCTGCCATCCTTCAGCGCGGAGGTGTGTCTAGCGTGGTTTGTTTACGTGTGTGTTTTGGGTCTCCCCATCACCAGGGCAGGAGCCTGGTGCCAAGCTCGAGCCAAGCCAGCAAAGAGGGCCCACAAGGGAAGGACCACAGCGGCGAGTCCCAACCAAAGCAGAGACTGGCGGGCCCCAGCCAGGGGACTAGTACAACGTCCTGAGGAGACCCCCAACGGAAAGGCTGGAGATACCTGGTCAGGAGGAAGGCCCATTTGGGTCGTGGTCCGGGTAACTCTCCTCCCTGCGCTCATCCCGGAGCCCACCACCTCCGACCTCACCACAGCCAAACCGCTCCTATTTACAACCGCCAGGGCGCAGCCGGAGACCCGAGACTCAAGGGAGGAGGCGCCACCACGCGCAGCACAGAGCGCGCGACCGCTACCCGCCCCCACGCCCTCCTAGGCGACTAGAAACCCAGCCCGAGGGAGGCCGACGGGAACCCCGAGTTCACGGCCCGCGACCCCCGTGGGGACACCGCCTCCAGGTCCCCTTCCCGCGCGCCTCCCTACCTGGCTGGCTTTGTGGAACTGCTTTTTGAGCCCGGCCACCGACATCGCGGCAGCGCCCCGCCCGGGGGTGGTCTCGGGGCTCCGTCGGGCCACGCGGCCGCGACGCTGAGCGGAGCGGGCACCCCGGGCGGTCCCCGCGCGCCCCACGGCCACGGCCACCGCCACGGCGCTGTCACACTGGCACACGCGCGCGCGCGCAGATAGCAACACCGCGTTTCGAGGTTTGGACGCAGCCCATTGGCCGAGCCTCGGCGGTATGCAAATGAGGCCGCTGGGACCGCCCACGCCTCATTGTTGCGTGGCGACCGGGAGCGCTTGAGCCCGGAAAGAGGCTAGTGGATGGATGTCCCCAGGATGCGGAGAGCCTCTCCGGACTTCTTTAGACCAGCATGGGATGCAGCTGACTCTGAGACTGTTCTGGACCCGAGGTTTTCTCTCTACTTTTCTGTGACTTGATGTGAAACCCGCTTTCACTCACTGGCAGTAACATCATCTCCCCTATACACACACACACACACACACCCCACACACACACACCTGCCCCGCGAATTTTGGATTGCTGAGTGATATGAGGAAGGAACGCTGAGGTGTGCATCTCAGGAAGAGAAACACTACAGAAACCGGGCTCTGTGCTTAGTTGGGCGGGAGCCGGTTGTGGGACGCTAGGGGGTGTGCTCTAGCAATTTGGGGTCCCTGGGAGGGAATTACTTGGTAAGGTTTACTAATAAACTCACACTAGTCTCACAGATGACCGAGCCCCTTGTCAGCTACACCTCTGCAAGATGCCATATTGGTCTCCAGGTATGTCTATTACACAAGACCTTTTCACAGGGTCTTGAGGTTGTTGTTGAACAGCGGGTGCCCAGTCATGGAAACGGAACTTTACGTCATGCATGTGCCACCAGTGAGTCTACTTCTTTCCTTGAACCTGGCCTTTTAAAGACCCCGTGGCCCCTAATGCCTGTAATCCACTTTAGCAGAGTTTCGCACTGAAACAAGCACCTCCCAGATTTCACTCTCTATCTAAAAGAAATGTCACTCCATGGACCCTCCCCAAATCTGGCCTAGGGTTGCCAGCATTCCCCGCTTGTCCTGAACACTTGCGGTTCACACCTGTGCCCACCAGGCTTCTATTTGACTCTTGCATTTCTCCGGGACTCTTAGCTCCTGGCTTCCAGCCCCCCCACCCCACCCCCACCTGAGTCCTCGTAGCTTCTTGCTACTGTGGCAGGGTGAGTACCTACAGCTCTCTGTGCCTAGGTTTGCCCGCAGTGGCTGGGGAAGTGTAGAGTCCATAGCGTTCTTCCTTCGATGTGGGAAATGTGGGCATCTTCTTAACGGGCATCTTGGGACGAGGTTAAGGAGTGTGACTCTGCGCCTAGCTGGCCAAGGACTAGCTGACACCAGACAATGGTAGAAGGTGTGATGGTGGTGTCCACTGGATCACAATAGCCCAGCAAGATGACAGGTCCCCATTGCTGTCCCAGCCCAAGGTTCTGAGAAAGATGACCCTTCCTTGTCCTGAACTAGTCTATGGCTGGGTAGATCCTCTACTGCTGATGCCTTCGGTACCCAAAAGGAGTTTAAATAGCACAGGCTCAACCTGTACCCTCTGTGGAGTCAGGTCCGTTTCAACACTGGTGATTGGCATTTTTCTATGGCTGACTGTTTTATTAGGTTTGCAAGGGGGTTGTTTTATTTTGTTCTGTCTTGAGGGGGAAGTCACAGTTTGAAGGGAACATTCCATGCTGTGTGCCTGAAAATGGGGCTGTGAACATAGCTCATCCTAAACAGACCTCCACCCTGCCATGTTGGACTGGGCAGAGCCAAAAGGCAAAGCAGCCTTAGTCTTAGTACGCTTAGCATTTTAAGAAGTGGTCCTGGTCGAAAATGATTACAGATACACAATAAAGACAGATTCAGACATAAAAGAACTCTAAACAAATCACAGTGTGTTTTAAAAATGTACATAGGCTTGGGAAAGAGAAGAAAAAGAGTAAAGAGTCAGTAAATGTAATATAAAAGAGTGTTGAAATAGGAGCGGCGGGGCTGCGTCCCCAACACCCCGGCCGCTTGGCTAGCTTATGCCCGAAATAACAACACACAAACTGTATTCATTTAAAGAACTGCTTGGCCCATACTCTAGCCCTTATAGGCTAATTCTCGCACCTGGACTAGCCCATTTCTAATGATGTTTGTAAGCACCCCAAGGTGCGCTTACCGGGAAGATTCTAGCCTACATCCATCTTCATCGCGTGTGCCTCAGAGAGCAGAGCTATCGCATCTACCCGGGAGAGCTGAGCATGGCGTCTGTGATTCGGAGAGCAGAGTCTCGGGGAGCAGAGCAGAGTCTGTCCTCACTTCCTCTTCCACCAGCATCCTATCCTGTTTATTCCGCCCACCTATCTTATAACCTATCAGGGCCAGCAGTTTCTTTATTACTCAGCCAATGAAATCAACAGATTGATATGACACTCCCACATCAAAAGAGTACAGACAGTCATAGGTTAAAGGAGTAAAGATAACAAAATAAATATTAAACTTGTAGAAAAAGTAATAGAGTAAAAAAATAAGCCACGTAAAGATGGAATATACACAGAGAGTCTGGATGATGAATATTGTATTTTCTTTGAAATTTTTGACTGTCGAAGAGCTATATAATGAGAGACATTTCATTGTATGGACTGCTAAATTAAACCAACATAAAGGTATGAGCACAATGGTGCTAGGGGCACATGGAGGACGATGCTGTTCATCTTCATGGCAGACAGGAAGCAATGAGCAAGGGAGAGGCCTGTCAGCCCTCAAAAGCACTCCCCTGCTCACCCACGTCCTCCAGCTAGACCTGTCTCCTAAGGCTTCTGCTGCCTCCCACAATTGAGCTACCTGCTTGGGCTCCTTAAGTTCAACACTGTCCGGATCAGCTCATAGTCAAACCATAACAGGGTGCAAGTTAATATCTAATTTCAGTTGTCAACAGACATCCAGCTTATACAGCATCATTTTTTAAAGATACTATATTTTCCCCAGCGGGCGCGCGTGCGTGCGTGTGTGTGTGTGTGTGTGTGTGTGTGTGTGTGTGTGTATACTTACCTTTTTGGAAAATTAAGTGGGTGAATCTCTGTGGGTTTATTCTTGTCATCTGCTCTATTCCATTGATCTCTGTCTGTTCAATGCTGTGCTGTTTTTTTTTATTACTATGACTCTGCTTTTGTTTGGGGTTTTTTTTGAAACAGGGTCTCTCTGGGTGACAGTCCTGGCTGCCCTGGAACTCACTTTGTAGACCAGGCTGGCCTTGTACTCACAGAGATCCATCTGCCTGCCTCTGCCTCCCGAGTGCTAGGATTAAAGGCGTGTGCCACCACGGGCCACCACCGCTGGCTTTGATTCCCATGACTCTGTATTGTAACTTGAAACCAGGAGATGGTGAACCCCACAGGAGCAGGACCAGATACCATGATGCCTTTAGCATTGTTCCCCACTCAAGACCACTTTTGCTATTTGGGGTCTTCTGTGCTTCCATATGAATTTCTGGGTTTTTAATTTTCTAGTTCTGGAAAGAATGTCATTGAAATTTTCCTGGAAATAGCCTTGAAGTTACACATGGCCATTTAACTCTTCTGCTGATCCACAAACAAGGTAGGTTTTGTTCCAATCGCGTAATTGTCCTTCAATGTATTTGGTGGTTTTAATTGTCATGATAGAGGTCCTTCACCATCTCTGTTTTTATTCCTACTATGTTGGGAGCTATGGAGATGGAATCGTTGCCAGTTTCACTGAGTTGACTAATGGTGTAGGGAGAAGTTAATGCTTTGCTGTTGTTGGTCTCTATTCTGCGACTTTGCTGCAAGTTTTTGCTAAGACTAAGCACCTGTGGGGTCTCTGGGGTCTTGTAGGTAAGGATTATGCCATCTGCAAACAAGAATATTTTGATGTCTTCCTTGACGAGTAATGATTTTCCTTCCTGCTTTGCTCTGTCTAAGAAGTCAGGTGTTAGACTGAACAAGAGTAAATAGAAGACACTATTGTCATATTTCTGAACTCTTCATTTTTCCCCATTTAATGTAACATTGGCCATAGGTCTTCATAGGGAGCTCTTATCATATTAACAGACATTCCTTCTATTCCTAGTTCTTTCTAGTTTTTATTATGAAGGGATGTTGACATTTTTCAAAGGCCTATTATGTATCTATTGACATAACGTGATTTTGTACTTGGTTATGTTTATATGATGTATATTATCTATTTGGGTAGGTGAAATCAGCTTTATATCCTTAGACTAAACCCATCAGAGTGTAGTCACAGATGATATGACCATCCTGTGAGTCCTGGGAATTGAACCCAGGTCCTCTGGAAGAGCAGCCAGTGCTCTTAACCATTGAGCCATCTCACCAGCTCCTCTGCTGCTTTTGATGAGAGTTGTCTTAGCAGTCTTTTCTTGAGAGCTCAAGACCCAGTAAGGCTCAGGAATGAAAACAAACCATAGTGACTCCATCAGCACCAAAACAACACAGATAAGTTTAAACAACTACAAACATCCTCTATACCCTTATAAAACTGAAAAGGCAAAAATAACATAGATTAAAATAAGAATTCTAAAAATTAATAAATGTAAAAGTAGTATTAATAAGGTAATTTTAAAGTGGGGGGACAGCAAGATAGAAATAAGCTAGAAGTGAAAGGAAAAAGAATATAAGGTAGTGCAAACTATTAGAGGGGAGAAAAAGGCCCCAGTTAAAAAGACAGATACCCATCTTACCCACGCCTCTGGCTCCAGGTTCTGGGGCTCTTCATGTTTGGGATGCAATGTGTGTGTGTGTGTGTCTTCTTTCTTCTCAGTTAATGAGTTAGTGAATGTTTATATATACCAATGGGTCATATATATATGTGTGTGTGTGTGTGTAAACACATTCATACATACATACACTCACATATATAATGGATCAAATTGATAATTATACATTTAATATATGGGTGTTTATATGTAAGTTATATATATGTATATGTATATATATAATAGATTTGATGGTAAATACCATTTATTAACTTGAAGGGATCCAGAATCACCTAGAAACAAATTTTGGGACAAATCTGTGAAGGAGTGGCTAGGTTGGGTAGAGGTGTGAAGATCCATTGTAAACGTGGTCAGCACCCTCCCACGAGCTGGTGTCCT